GAAGTTCAGAGAAACTCCAGAGAAGGCTCAGAGGAACTCCAGAAAAAGTTCAGAGAACATTCAGACAAACTACAGAGAAAGTTCAGAGAAACTCCAGAGAAACTCCAGACAAAGTTCAGAGAAAGTTCAGAGAAACTCCAGAGAAACTCCAGAGAAAGTTCAGAGAAACTCCAGAGAAAGTTCAGAGAAACTCCAGAGAAGGCTCAGAGAAACTACAGACAAAGTTCAGAGAAGCTCCTGAGAAAGTTCAGAGGATCTCCAGAGAAAGTTCAGAGAAAGTTCAGAGAAACTCCAGAAAAAGTTCAGAGAAACTCCAGAGAACATTCAGACAAAGTCCAGAGAAAGTTCAGAGAAACTCCAGAGAAAATCCAGAGAAGGTTAAGAGAAACTCGAGAGAAGGTTCAGATAAAGTTCTGAGAAACTCCAGATAAAGTTCTGAGAAACTCCAGAGAAAGTTCAGAGGAACTCCAGAGAAACTCCAGACAAAGTTCAGAGAAACTCCAGAGAAAGTTCAGAGGATCTCCAGAGAAGGTTCAGAGAAAGTTCAGAGAAACTCCAGAGAAAGTTCAGAGNAGAAGGTTCAGAGAAAGTTCAGAGAAACTCCAGAGAAAGTTCAGAGGATCTCCAGAGAAGGTTCAGAGAAAGTTCAGAGAAACTCCAGAGAAAGTCCAGAGGAACTCCAGAGAAAGTTCAGAGAAAGTTCAGTGCAGGTCTGTAGCAGCCCAGCGAGATGGAGACCTGATGAAATCAGAAACACTTTGAAGGACATGAGGTCACTGGTCACCTGACACCTGTGGTTCAACATACCGTCATCAGGTGCAGGTTCTGCTCCACAGAGTGAACCATGCTTTCCAGATCCTCAGCCTCCTTCTCATCCTGACGTCTCCTCTGGAGAAGCTCCTCCGATAGCTCCTGCACCCTGACCAGGGGTGGGGGGGTTACGGACACAGAGGCATGATGGGTAAATACTCTGTGTCCAATTGGTCAGTTGGTGTGCTGTGTTTGGTCGGCGGTCACCTGCGTTCTTTAGCATCTGATCTCCTCTGCAGCTCTTTGATGGTTCTCCTCAACACCACGTTCTCCTCCAACTGTCACACGTTTCAAAATTAAAGCCCTGTTCAGATTTCTATTTAAACGCTAGATTCCTTTTAATTTGAATGTGTGTGTCACCTGTATGTGGCTCCTCCTCCTGAAGGAGTTGATTGGTTCAGTCATGGACGTCTCATCGTCTCCTTCACAGTCTCCTCCTCCCTTCGGGTTGACTTCAGGTTTAGAGCAAAATCTGTTGGATTCAAGTTTTTAATGTTTACGACGTTGGAAAATGTTACGATCTTACTAACCCTTCTACCTCCTATAGTCTGTCTCTCTGTCTGTCTGTCTCTCACACACACACACACACACACACACACACACACACACACACACTGTCACTCAGTGTGTTTGTTGGTGCAGAGCTCAATAGAGACAAAGAGACACAGAGAGGAGGAGCAGTAAAAACCGTCAACAGAACGTCTCATGTATGAAAAGACCATAATGACCACAGTGGACCTGTGAGCTGTGCATGTTTCTGTCTGTCCTGGACCTGTGAGCTGAGACATGTCCCTGCGTCCAAGTGGAATTATTTTGATAAAACCAGGTTCTGTAGCTGAAAGACTTCAACACTTGTTTTTTTATCCAAATCGTATCTTGGATGAAACGTCTCTTGTCCAGTTCACACTCACCTGGTCTCCTCCTCTGAGAGAGGGGAGGAGCTGCCGTCCACACTGCACTGGAAGCCCCACCCCCTATCCTCATCTTCTTCCTCCTGATTGGACAGACAGAGAGGTGTTTTACCTGTCACTCAAAGTGAACATGAATGTGAGTTAAGTTCCTAGTGACTGAGGGTTAGTCACTAGTTAGTGTGATGATGTCACTACCTGTTGTATCATCTTCGGCTCAGAGAAGAAACATTTGTGGACGTCAGGGTCAAAGCTGGACGAGCTGCAGGACTACAGACACAGACTCAGTCAGTGATACTTTTCATCTGATGCAGACTCAGTGGTCTTCATACCTCACTGTGTGCCTGATCCTGGTCCTGGTCCTGCTCCTGGTCCTGGTCCTGCTCCTGCTCCTGGTCCTGGTTCTTCAATCGTAGAAACTCTTTGAAGGAGAACGGGTTGAGCTCGTCAGCCTGAACCTCCTCATCTGAGAAGAAACAAGCTGAGGAGACTTAATAAAGATCAAACAAAGATCAAACAGTGTGGTGACCTGTGATTGGATCAGCTCCTTGGTCACGTGATATGAGACATAAAATCTTAAAGACATATCCAATGGAGGAGGAGGAGGAAGAAGAGGAGGAGGAGGAGGAGGAGGAGGAGGAGGTCTCCTCTGTGTCTCTCCATCAGTGGACAGATGTCACCTGTCTGACGTCACACTCACTGTTCCCTATGATGTCAGGCTGCAGGACTGGACCTGGACCCAGACCTTGACCCTGAACTGGACCCAGACCCGGACACGGACTCACCGTCTGTGATGATCAGGCTCTTGCAGCTCCTGTGTCTGGACATGAGGACGCAACTGGACTCGTTCTCTGATTGAACACCGTCTCCAATCCTTCACATGTTCGATCCCCTCGTCCTACCGGTCCCGCCGTCTGTCTACGTCGGACCCGGAAACTAACGCACATTCAAAGTCATGTGATCAATCTTCTGACTTCTCATTGGCTGACATCATCACGTGACGCGAAAGTGGGATTCAGTACAATGAAACACGTTTCCTGTTTGTTCCGGTGAGACAGTGTGAGGACCAGAGACAGACAGGAGAGACAGACAGGAGAGACCCGGAGGACACTACGAGGACCAGAGACAGACAGGAGAGACAGACAGGAGAGACCCGGAGGACACTACGAGGAC